TGCAACTAAGCGAACTACAACTCCTCCCTCGCGTTGATTTCTGGCCGGCCGCCGGTGACGTGCGCTCCCCCCTGACATCGACCTTATTCCGATGTCATCAATCGTGCATAACTTGGAGCAACATTGTTCAGCCAAGACGAACGGAAGAATCCGGTCAGGCTTTTACTCTGAATGTTCAATGATCACATCGTGAGTAGGGATGTTCTCAAAAAAAAGAGAATTTGCAAAGAAAAATTAACTCTCAAGCCTCCCAAACCCCTCATTATAACTCAAAATTCGTGTGAAGCGTAAAAGCCGGCTCAATGCGTTTGTTTACTAGTTGTTTGTAAGTTGTTGAATCAAGTGTAAACAAACTGTGGCGCAGTTCGGCGACGGGAGAGGGGGGCATTTTGCACTTTCACTGCTTCACCACTTCCGGTCTCATTCTGGTAAAGCTTGTGAACTCGTGCAAAGCTGGAGCAAGCTCGTCTAGCCACCATGTAAAACGTGTCAACTCGAGAAAAGGCTATCTAGATGGGTCGACACATCGATGGGAAGCAAAATGCCCCCCCGTCGCCGAACTGCGCCCAATTGTCGAATAAAGATGTAATCGAACCATGACTTCTACCCTTGCTCACATCTTTTTCTTATTTGGAAATATATGCACACAATGTGCCAAGTTACAACAAATGACAAAGCTTTAGCCGCTATCAGTCTCTTTTTTGGGATGTGTTACGTTTCCTACTTCCATTCAGAATCGTAGTGTTAAATGAACGGGATGCTGCTTATACACTGCGAACTACCGAATTGTGAAGGTCTACCGATGTACAAGTCATATTCTTGTCCTCACAGACAGAATTGACATCAATTTGCCGTTCCGGAATATAGAGGACTTGGTTGGCCCCTTCGTAGCCGCTCCAGGACTTAACCCCACGCACCGCATGTGTAAGTGTGCCACTTTCCTCCATGCCATCCATCCACCATCTCCTTCACACTAATTTGTTACTGGCAGAAACTGTTGACCTATTATTACCAGAAAATTTATAGAAGAATGTTTCAGACCAGATTTCAATATGAAATAAATCAATAATTTGGGCCATCTAACTGGACTAAACGCTACTGAACAGTAAATTGTCTGTAATCGTCCAGCCCCTATTTAATAACAATGTGCATGGAGGAGGTTTTTCCGCCGCACACAACAGGTTGCACATCAATGCGTGCAAATAATCCACTCGGCACACATGCTGTTCACTTCCTCTCACCTGCCCTCTTCCGCTGCATAACAGTTTGTGTAGTAAGCGGTAATTTTGAAATAAACATCTTAAAAGGCACCAAAAGGCTGATTTCATCTTTCAGGATATTGGGGTATCACTGACACTCTCAATTCTAAAGTGGTAAACCCTGGAGTAAGCACGTAGGCTCTGAAGATCCCGGCAGCCGGCTAATTCAGATTTTCAGAAGTTTTCGCCTCCATGAGAAATACTGTCTCCAGCGGGTAGAAAGTGTAAAGAGCCTGGCAGGTTTGCCTGGGGTGGGTTCCAATTCCAAATAGCACACCAACAACGCATACCGTGCAGCTCGCCATTCCTATATGTGGAAGTACTTTAAGTGCGGAGCCGACGTCTATCGCCAGCACTGGGGCAAGGGTGGAAGCAGGACGGCACTATGGTTGCCTCTAACATGTGCATGGGCTGCAGGATAAATACCAAATGGGACTGCGGACTAGGGCGATCTTCCCCGTTGTTTATCCTTCCAAGAGTTAGATCATTGAACCAGATTAATTTCAATGACCCGTGATGTGAATGAGTTCTGAAACTTCAACTTTGGGTTGTCAGAGTAGCCAGTTCCGGTGACTGGGATCATGTGCCAAAGCGAGAGGAAGGGCGCACACAGAGACGCAAGTAGAAAGCTTATGACGAAGGCTATTTTTCCATCATGAATGCGCACGTAGCAGCACATAATTGTTTTGACTTCTGTTCCGTCTGTATCCTTGCAGCTGTGGCAGCGTTCGCAGACCAAACTCCATCTGGAAACGCCCCTTTTCGCCTCCAGATATGGACTGTATCAACAAGTCTATGCTGGTTAATAGATCTAACTTTTCATAGGCTGATAAGCTCTTTTATTTTACCTCTAGGGCCATATTGTATTGATAACTGTTAAACTTGAGAAAAGAGATATTGAAGGATCTATACGCTCAACTGCACATAATATGGCCCCATAGATTATTGCACAAGTCAAAGAATTTTTCACAATCTTTACAAATCCTAGTGGAGCCAAATAACTGGCGTTCCGCAGGATTGCTAAACGAAGGGTCCTTTATTTTTTTCGCGATCTCGTGCTTCTTAAGATCTGATACCTGAGCAAGTGAAGGAACGTTCCAGGGGGGGGGGGGGGGAGGGCTCAGCTAGGAAGTTGTTATGTTTACTTCCCAAAACTCGCCACTGTAAGCACTGAATAGCCTGTACTCGTTACCTGAAATTCAAAGCATCTCCTCCACATTTTCGCGTTTGCAGAGCTGTCTTACGAAGCACGAGCTCACACCCATAACATTTCTACTTTGCGCGCGTTGGATTTCCTTCAGAAGTTGTGTTAAAGAGGTTGCGTGGTATTTAAAGGCAGAGTGCACGATAAATCCTCAAGACTAGTAGGACGGAACTCCGCGCCCCTGAGCAGCTCGTCCGTATTCTCTTGAATGCAGTTGGCACGATAAATCCTCAAAAACGAGTAGGGTCAATGTGCCTGGCAGGCCAGAACTCCACGCCCCTGAGGAGGAGCTGCGTAGCTTTTCCAAGGAAGGTACCTTTGTAAGGCTCTATCTAGCTGCAACATACCGACCCGGACGCCCAAATTTTCCTGCTTCCCTGTGAAAGGGGCGATGGCTAGGGAAACTCGTCCGGAATTACTTTCTGAGTCATGAAGAACGAAGGCTTTTCTTCGCAGGTTTTTTGACCGTTTCACTTCGTTTTTTCGCCATTTTCCCATTATATAGCACCCTGCTAGCATTTTAGACCGAGTACCAAATTATCTTGCTAATTGCCTTTAAGAAAGCAATTACTTCTGAGCTGTCATTCACTCCGCCATCGCCCCTCCACAGGAGCCTAAATAATGCCCCTCCAAGCTTCCTTTCGTGCGCTCATTTCAGTTATGCTCATCGGTTTCTTCAGCAAATTGTCAGCGTGCAAGAACAGAAAAACTGCATCAAACTCATCATCAAAATGGTTTTCAATGGCTCGCGGTATAAACCATGTTCGATTTTGAGGCAGAATACAAAATAGTTAGGTGAATCCTACCAGGGAGTCGTACTGTAATTGACCTTGAAAGCAATTTTGCTGAATCGCCAAGATTTTTCCCCGTATAACGCGCTATATACTCTCCACCTTCCTAAGGGAAGGGCTGCCAAAAATTTTAGAAATGTGTTTCTTGGGAAGGTAACTTGTAAGGACTCAGGGCACATATACTCGAAATCCCTGACATCGGGTAGGCGTGGCTGCATGCTTCAACATAACTGAAAAGTCCTATGCTTTTAGTGAGATATTTTCATCTATTAGGTCATCCCATTCAAACGTGGCCGCTGGTTTTTTTTGAATAAAACAAAGAGGAGAATAGATAGAAAAGTGATATTTTAGCTTTAGGATGAGTAAATCCCTCCTTCACCAATGACCCGCTCCCAGTGCCCCGAGGGCCTTTGGACCTCTGGTACCTTCGATTTTTCAACAAGTGTGAGTAAATTGCTGTTGTTGCCAATTTCGGCAAATGACAAAACATTGTAGCGTCTGCCGTCGAAGAGTACTCTCTACTGAATAGAACAGTTGTAATCGCATGGCTTTATGACGGGCGAATGGGGACGATTGAACTCAGGTCTCAGTATTGTTTGTGTCCCAGCACTGATCTACAATACAGTTACTCGGGGTCTGGCACTATGACGAGCAACGGTGGCCTTCTTGTAGTTGTGTGGTAGCATCCATTTGTCGATCTGAATGCCGAGGAACAGGCAATATGCACCGACAGTGACGGATTTGTTCTCTGTATAGAGCCGCTTGAAAGCCACAGTGTGGGAATCCTTTGCTATGATGATCATCCACTTGCGCCCACGTAACTCTTCATGGTAGAACTCGGGCGGCTTCTCATCTGCATTCATAGAAAATTGACGATTGTGAGTTTCGACTCGAGGTCCGAGACCACCCATATTTCATCTAGGGCCGGGGTGCGTTTTCACAGTTGTGAGTGACATCTCATGCTGAGAACATTACTGCTAGAGGTATAGAATCGGTACTGCGTTCGTGCTTCTATAAGAAAATTAGGTACCCATGCGCCACCCTCTTGACCATCCTCAGTTTATCGGACATAACTCGGGCAGCAGTTGCAGCTGGGATGTCAGACTCGCGGGGAAGCTCGACAAGGGTCCAGGCTCTGTGATCAGATATTCAGTGCCTGACTTCATCCACCCGTTTTTCTTGTGCAGGATGAATATTATGGGACCACCCACGACAACAAATTTTTTCCTTTCTTCCTTGTACGGGCTCCTGAACCAGATCTTCCACCGTGTATTTCGAGAACACCCTTACACACAACTATGGTCCGGCGCAGGTCAAATTTGAGCAGCGCACTTTCCTTTTATGACGTCTGATTTGAAAAACCGGCGCCGATTTTCACCACTCGGGCTTCTCTTCAATTTCTCGAGAACTTCTTCAGAGGCTAGGTTCGCCAAATTTCACAGATACACAGCTTAAGGTACTAGCTTCCAAATGGTATAGTAGCCCGCTGCTCTATCCCCTTTGCTTTTCTGCCATTCCTCTATATGTGTCGGCCACTTTGAATGGGATGACCTAATAGACACAATTGTTGTCGTGTCTCTGTCCAACACAGAACAAGATGACAGTTGTCCCAGACTGGAATATTCCACGAGTAACCAGTTCCGTGCCATGTTCAAATGCCACGCCTACTCTGCGGGATAGGAGGCATCTCGGAGATTTCCCAGTAGGGAAGTCGTATTTAGTCTGACAAATATTTTTCTTGACTGTTGATGTTTCTTGTTTTAGGGACGTATTTGCGTTCTGGTAGAAGTTGCTGACTTTTCGTGGTTGTTCCTGTTTCATATGTACTATATATATCCATCGATATGTCGAGGGGGGGGCACAGTTGAAACGGGAAAAATCGCTACATACCGCGACAGCAAAATACAATACCGCGGAAAAATCGCTACATACCGCGACAGCAAAATACATACCGCGACAGCAAAATTTCCAGGAAAACTGGGAAAATTTTCGGGAACTTCCGGAGAAACTGATAGGATGTGGGGGAAATTTGAAAAAGCGGTATGTAGCGATTTTTTCCGTTTCACTTGTGCCCCCCCCCCTCGACATATCGATGGAGGAGCTATCTAAGGGGGGGGGTCGTATCAAGCCACGGCTCAGAAGGGTCGTACAAAGACCAAAATCCCCAGATAATGATTGCCTTGGGAGGAACTGGTAAGGGGATAGCTATGTTCGCGAGGGTTGCACTGGAAGGTCAAAATCTGGGAGGGGGGGGGGTGGTGTCGTGCAGATACCGCCATTTCTCTCAACCCAATGCTGTACGATGCTTCAAGCGGCGCCAAGCAAGACTGAGTGCTGCTGCAAAGCCGAAACTCTCACATTGTTGGACCGGCCTATGAACTTTTGTGCATTTTTTGGAAAACTAGAACTAATCTCACCTGAAAGGCGTACTGTCTTGTGTCAGTGAATGATCTCTTATGGAAAACATTCGTACAGCTGTTTCGGATCCGAAAGAAATTCTGCGGATGACGTCATAAAGGGCATAATATTTAGCATTACAGTCCCAACAAACCGTGCCAGACTTTGCCATCCGACACCCTCATACTCACCTCACTCTATAACTCGCTGTTGCTTCGCCGAGCCGTTGTTTGATCGACCGCCAACGGTTTTCTATCGATTTTCACCTTTCGTTCCACGAATTGCATTGATTCCAGACATTTTTATGAGATTGGCACATTCACAGGAAGACGTCTTCATGATAAGCTTGCAACAAGGGCCAGCGAAAATGTGCAGTCTGTGGGGATTCGCCGGCGAAAGTAAGAGAAACTTTGGCAAGAAATCTTGGTCCGTTTGCATTATCAATTTTTCATGTTCCTCATAATTTAAGATTCACTACGGAGTATTGGCCTGTTTTGGATGTAAAGGATTCTTTCGACGAGCCGTGAAGGACGGCAGAAACAAGTACGTTTGTCGATTCGACAAGAATTGTGAGGTCAACAAATGTAAGTTATTACCATATACCTGTCAAGTTATTATCACCTGGAACAGTAAAATGCCGATTGACTGGTTTCAATTAATGAGCACATTGGGCTTACTGTATTTGTTTACACGATGAACTGCACGGGGTACTTCCTCTTACCGAGGAGAGTTGTGATACAGCAGGAGTTTCCTCCTCTGGTATGATCTTCCCCTATCCTTCCCACGACCTACCCGGGTGTTCCTATCTCCCTACCATTTTCCGGTTCAATTTCCAAAAAGCCCTTTACACTTATTTCCCAAAAAGGATGAAGGTGAGTTTATGGCGCACTCGAAACAGTAAAAACAGTCGACGTCAACGACCGCAACTTTATTCCGAAGCAAGAATGACCTCTCCCTACCTCCAGCGGCCAAATACGACCCCTCCCCCCTCTGGGGATCGTCAACGTAGGACATGCCATAGAGCAACATAGACCCGATTAGCTAGTATTTTAGAGGCAAAAGGTTACCCATGACAATATTTCATCATAGGAACACATCAAATTTGCGGGCCATTAATGGAATGGTTTAGGCGTTTACCTATTTTTCCCAGAGTCCAAACAAACTATCATGCAATCAAAAACTTGATTTACTTGTTGATTTGACCGGCCTTCACATGTACGGTATCTTGCAAGATGGCGAATCGTTATCGATTATATATGCAATCCATCTGACTGACTTGGATTTTTAGAAAGCCTCGAAATTGCATGCTCATCTACTTTTTTTTTTCTTTTTTTTCTCCATGAAAAGGTAAAATTATAGTGCTGCGTCTCCCAGGGTATCTTATTTGTTCGTCCGAGGAAAAATTGCATGCCACCACCGATGCTTCCAAATGAACTGGAAGTGAACTACAGTCTTGTCTACCACGGATTCTGGGTCGTTTCAGGGGCCAGATTTGGCTCTCAATCTGATCCTGTTCAATAGAGCAAGCGGCAATATTTGGTGGGAATGAGCTGGCGCTGAGCCAAATCCAACTCCCTGAAATCCCTAACATCCGCAGCGAACAAGACTGTAAACAAGAAATCAATATATCGATCGACCGAGATTGCGCTACATGCTGACGGTTTTTTTCGGCGCGTTACAAAGGGTTTGTTCGTTAGTAGGAAAAGTTATCAAGTGGAAATTCTGCTTGTCTTTTATTTTTAGTTAGGCAAACCAAACAAAAAGTAATAGCTGACTTACTCAGTCCTCTGATTTACTCAGGTTCATTCTGAATTTGATTTGTTTTCCATTAAGTTGAACGAAATGCGTGTCGATACTGTCGATTTCGGAAATGTTTGCTCGTGGGAATGAACCCTGACTGTGAGTTACTTTCAGCTTTTTTCACTAGTGTTCTATTAATAGACGACTAAGCAATTTCATGTTGAGATGCGGTGGTCTTTTGGGAGATCTTTTCAGGTTCTTTGCCCTCAAGTCTTATTCATGTTTTGCTGAAGTGAAGAGGCGTAGACCCTTCTTCCCTGTCCCGTGTTGCTGCCGATTCCACAGTTCTCCAGACCCCGGGGTCCTTACTCCGCGGTTTTCGCAACTTCGCGTTTCTCCGATTCTTGAGTACTGCAAGGTGTAAAGTCCTTTCTGTGGATGCTAGAGTGTGTTCAGGCGGCAGGGTTTTGCAAGGCATCAAGTATTGTCGCTTGCTCTCCTCAACAACGGTGGGAATCGGGCTCAACAATTTGGGGAAATTGGGCTGGCGCCGCGCTATTCAGCACCGTCCCATGGCCCCAGCGTCCGCAGTGAACAAGACTGTAAAAGCGGCCTCAGGATCCGCTCAAAGGATATTGAACAACAGCATTATCCATCTTCACGGAAACTGATGCAGCACTCAGGGTGCTTTTTCTTGCTAAGGTCCCCTTGATAGATTGCCGATTCCGAATGTGACCGTGGTCGTGTTCACCTGCACCAATTTATACTGCTCCATTCCACGAGGAGAAAGATGCTAGATCGAATTCGGGTAACGTTCGATCCCATCAAAACAAATAAAGTGGAGCAGCGGTTCCTCAGTCAGCAGCTGAAGAACCCACTATGTGAAGTGAATAGGGCGGCGTACTTACACATTGCCAGTTCAACATTTACTCATTCAATATTTGCTCAAGAACTTTGTTCTCATAGAAACATTTCAGTTGTTCGACCAGACAGAGAAGAGGCACGTGAGAAACTTCGCAGTCAGAAATCGCTTTTGTCAAAGAAAAAAAGCATTGGGCGGTCATTATCAAACAAAGCCGATGCAGACAGCGATTGGACAGCTCAGCTACCGTCGAATTCCAGGTACAGCGGCACAATTTCCGTAATTTGAATGGTAGTCCGCGATCCTTGTTAGGGCGGAGCCAGTACTAGCATTGCGTCATGCTCGCTTGTGTGCCATTCTTCCCAAATGTTGAAGAGTGGGTAAAAGTCTTGCTCCAGACGGGAATCGTGCCGATCGCTCACACTAACTGGGTCCAAACCACACGCTTACCGGGCGATTGCGCTATTCGGGAGACGGGCAAGAGAATCGCGAACTGCCGCTTCCGCGCGCGGCAATTGGGCGCGACGTTTCCTTAATTTGCACTACCCTTTCAACTGGAGCATCGGATTTCATGTAGACAAGTACATGGTGCACACTTATGTCTATTTTTGGTCATACATTGTCTATTTCGACCAATATCGTCGCATCAGCCGGGCGCGAACGCCCACGCGACCCACTGTGCGGCGCTATTGCGATTCTCTTTGGCACCAAGTACGGTCACTATTCGTTGCACGTAACGGGTACCGCACTCGCACGGTGAGGGTGAGGTACGGCTCTGCGTGGGTAAAGGCTTTTGCGTGAGCATCTCATAATACCTTTTAAAGGCAAACTGCAGCACTAAACAGCAGCTGTTTGAAAAATGAGTCCTGCTGGACTATTGTGAGAAATGTGTAAAATGTAATGCCCACCTTTTTGATTTTCAGAAAACTGCTATGTGATCTGAATACATTGGAAAACGACGTACTGGCTTCTAGCTGTCGGCGGCTATGAAAGTATAGCAGACTTCTCGCTGAAAAGCCTCATAGCAGATCGAACGCTTGCCAGGAAGAGCATGGTTTGGCTTGTATTTCCGTTTTTCCTAGATATATAGCCGAGGATTAACCTCCGGTACATAAAACTCACTTCGGTAAAGTCCTACTTGGACTGGGAAACGTGCAGCTTGAAGACATAATCCGCGACTGTTATTCATGGCTGATGGGGTTCAGAAGGGTTTCTGGTAGGCTACTTGTGGAAGAGAAAGCGACGGACGGATGGGCGAGAATGCTCTTGGGATGACTTCTCGATCGCTAAGTCGCAAACGAGATCCCAGGGAATTAACAATGGACGTGGAAAAGAAAAATTTTTCACGAGTTGGCTAAGGTGGAGACCGACAACCGAGGGCGGGTTCGGATATGGCCGAGTCATGGCTTTCTTAGCAAGTTCTTTCAAAGGCAGTTGACACGATGATTCCTTCAGGACGAGCAGGTCTAATACGCCTGGGGACGGATTCCGCGACACTGAGCAGGCGCTGTATAAGGCTGCGTTATACTTTGGCAGGCAGCGGATCAGGCGGCGGTAGCACGCTTAGGCGCAGGGTGCACAGATAGAGAGTGGCAGATGAGACCTGGAAGGCTTCACGCAGCGGATGCACCAGCGGCACGCTGGCGTACGCTAGCGGCACGCTAGCGTACGCCAGCGTTTCTCCAGCGTTTCACCAGCGTTTTGCTAGCGTTTGCAGCGGCAGGGGAGTAGAGACTATGGGAGAGCTGGAGGGTACAAAACACATCGATTGCGCGTCTCTCACTCGCCCTTAGTCTCTACAATGCACATCGCTTCTGCGTCTCCGACGGCCACATAGTCTCTACAATGCACATCGCTTCTGCGTCTCCGACGGCCACACAGTGAGAACCGGAGGGCCACATAGTCTCTACAATGCACATCGCTTCTGCGTCTCCGACGGCCACATGGTCTCTACTCCCTGCCGCTGCAAGCGCTAGCAAAACGCTGGTGCCGCTGGAGAAACGCTCGAGAAACGCTGGTGAAGCTAGATCGATAGCTATGCTTCCCGTGCCCTCGCTACGCCAGCGTGCGCTAGCGTGCCGCTGGTGACGCTGGTGAAGCTAGATCGATATGCATCCTCTCTTCGGCACTGCCGCTGGCGTACGCTGGAAGCGCTACGCTACGCTGCCGCAAAGTATAAACGCAGCCTAATGCCTCAGGGAAAGGTGCCTTATAAGGGTGCTATCAAGCCACAACTTTACGTCCCAAACGCCCCTTGCCCGCCCGCCCACAAATGGACGACTGTTCCAGACGCTCTAATTGATTCATTTGCTAAGCAAATTATGAAGCGAAGGCATTGGTATGAAGCGGCCGTGATGCTGCATGGATATATGAGTACACATACAGCCGCACCTTCTGTAGCGGTTATTGGCAAGATGCCTACGGGAAACTCGTCCAAAATTGATTACTAACACAGTGAGAACGGAGTCTCTTTTTTCGCAGGATTTTGACCGTTTCACTCCGTTCTTTCCCACTATATAGCGCCCCACTGGCATTTTAGGCCGAGCACCCAATCATCGTGCCAAGCCTCTAAGGTGGAACGTAGGTGATACATCTTCTGCCACTGCGTGCCCCACCACTCTGAACAACGTATTCCAAACGGGTCCTTATTTGTCGAAAGTGTATGCGGGCAGTGTCTTTTGAGATGAAAAAGGCGCATGTCTACAGAAATTTACTTTCCCATGTCTTGAACATAAGACGGGGCGGGACCGCGTACTCTGTTTGAGAACGGCTATGCGTTTAGCGGTACAGCGTCATGATTGATCAATTGTAATCATGTATTTGCTCAGTACATGACAGAATGACAGTCATTTTCTAAGACAACCCTGAAAAACCCATCCTAAGTACGTTCAAATAAAGTGCGCAACTGCGCCCTTCCCATCTCCGGGACATGGAACACACAATAGATCCACTAAACTCTCAGTCTATAATTTCATCAAGTCGAGTTTTCCTTTGTTGAGACTCGAAATGGGACTCCAGTGAAGCTTGAACACAGTCCCAGTTTGCTTTCAATTCAAAGAGTCGTCACCATCACGGACTTCATTGATGGCCTCATCAGCGTCATCGAGAGGGACTCATCACGAAAAACCACCGTTGAAGACAAGGTATCCTTGTTTGGGTCCAGATTTTTCGGTTCAGATTCTAATCAGTTCCTTGCAGTGCTCGTTGATCAGCTCCGTATTTCTTCCTTTGAACATTCTCGATCAAGCTGCTCGTTCTATTACCAAGGACTCTGCGTTCTACACAGAGGAATTCACTAAATCATTGGAGAATTTTCAGATGTGAGCATTTGGCTTCTAGTTTTTATCGCCTCTCAACATTTTGGCTAACCATAAGATCCAGGTTAGGTTTCCAATTTCCCAGGTAACGAAGTAATGCTGAGGAATGGAAACAAAGTTATGCCAAGGAGGCCTGAGGAGCGGGATGAGAGGAAGGAAGAAAGTGGTTGTGAATCCTAACGTGGAAAAAATTTCTTTTGTCAAGTTGGGTCCTGCCATTTTTCACTTCGTGAGCATTACATAGACCAAATTGATCCCCGCCTACCATTAACTTTAAACAATTTCTCAAACTCACTGGAGCTCCAGGATGACTGTTCATGTCTTTTTACAAAGGTGACCTGTGATGGTCCAGGGGAGGGGAATCGCTATGGTATCTGAACCATACCACGTTTTGGAATGTGCAGTTATTTTTATTTTTATTTCATGAGCTAATTCCAGAGAGCCTTCGACGATTTCCGAATTCGTAACACTGTGCGAGCGATTCAAGCGATTGTCTCCCTCTCCAGTTGAATACTCCATAGTACGAGCACTGACGATAGCTTCCCCAGGTGGGTGTTACTCCAGTACGCTGTACTCGTCTAGATGGTCTTGTGAAAAATAGTAAATAGGTAAATATTCAGGTAAATATTAAATAGGTATATACTGGTAAATATTCTTTGAACCTACAAGAATTAATCCTATTCTACATGACTTCTTCAGTGTAAAACTAACCATTTTTCAGATCGTGCAACGCTTGTCGAATGGTTTTTGCGCTCATCTATCCGATGTGCATGATGCACTTCAAGAGCTACTTTTTCGTGTGATCAAACTCTCCAGGACGAAATCGTCGGCTTCTGCAGCTAATATTATGGCGAATCTCGCCTCTCAAGTGTACGCCAAGTAAGCCACTTTTCCCTTCGAAGCCCTTCAAGAAACCTGAGAAAAAGTTCGATAGCTATCCAAAGAGGTTACTGGAGCAGTTTTAAAAGAGCTTCCGAAGGATTTGTTTCAGTACCTCCTTCGATTTCTCTATAGCCGTTCTCCCTCGCGTGCGCTAGCTCTGCCTAACACTAATGGATGTGGGCCCCTGTAATACTTCCATTATATACAGCTCCTTATCCCTAAGCCAGTGTAGGCCGTGCATTCGAAACATGGCAACGCGAACTGGTTACTCGTGAACGAAGTATTCCTGGGACATCGTCTTGTTTTGTGTTGGACAGAGACACGACAGCAATTGTGTCAAGATGAAAATATCTCACCAGAAGCATAGACTCCTTCATGCTAAGTTGAAACATGCGGCCACGCCTACTCGACCTCAAGGATTTCGAGTGCACACACTGCGCGCTGATCATATGGGCGGAGACAGAGCTAATGCGAGAACTGCACGACGTGCCCCTTCGCTTCGTGGTCCCAGGAGGAAACATTGTGCTCCAGTGAAACATGCGCAATGGTTGTGGTCTCCGCCCTAAGGCAAAGGGTGCCTGTTACCGGACTTATATCCGAACAGAGTATGATGCTGAGAGAATAGGCGCCAGGAGAGATGCTGGGTTTCTAGCTGGAGCTGAAATTAGTAGGAATTTTAGGGGGATTCACCATTCTCTTCTTCTCTTTCAAAAGCGTAGACGGGATCAGCTGACTGAGTCTTTTGGTGAAAGCCTCATTTGGACCATTCTGCTGTTGGTATTCGCTTATTTACCCGTCTTGACGTAATAAAATGAGCTCTCTGATACTCGGTTGAGAAAAAATTTTCGCGTAGAGCTTTATTAAAAGTTCGAACTGTTCGATTCTTTGATGCGATAACCATTGATCTGATCATGTGTAGAGTAGTAACGTTTCTAGAACCTATCTCCGATAGGTATATATAGGCGCGCTTCCTCCTTTAGCTTGGATCACGATGTCAATTCCACGAGACCGTGTTCGATACATCATCTTCTACGAGCGGCACCGGAGCGACGGCAACCGTTCGCAACATTACCAGAGGAGGGGGGAGGGGGGAGCACACCACTTCCATCGCTATGATCCATCGTTGTTCAGTCTGCAGTCTTGGCGACGAGTCTCGAGTGGCCCAATCAAACAAGTCGTCGGGTCGCCTTTCAGGCCTCGTTAGCAGAAAGGTGTGGACTCGAATTGATACCCTGTTTTTGACCGATAACATGCGGTACACCCGGGTATCCATTTGTCAGTCTCTCCTTCTCCGCCCACATCGCAAGGAGTTTCTGGAGGACCTAGTTACTGGAGATGAAAGCTGGATCCTCTACGACGCTAACAAGCACCGCGCCGTCTGGCTCCCGCGAGGAGAACAGCCGCCGACGCAAGCCAAATCCGACCTCCACCCCAAGAAGTTTCTCCTTTGCTGCTTCTGGAAAGGAATACTGTACATACTACCAACTGCTCAGCAAGGCCACACCGTCACCGCTCCCTATTACGCTGGTCAGCTGCAGAAACTTGCGGAGCCCTTGAGAAAAACGGCCTAGACGAACTTTTGCGCACCTCCTCCATGCACACACTCCTAGCCCCATCACCATAGCCGTACAAGAGCCGTGCAAAATTGGAGCGAGCAGGCGGGACACGGGTTCGCACACTACCCTATTTCACCTGATATTGTCCCGCATCAGATCAGCCACATGTTCTGCCCCAAGGCTTTCTTTAGCAGAAAACGTGTTCTTATTAGGTTGTCCGGAAAGTTCTCAGCGTTTTGTGCACCTAATTTTGTACATTCACTGCTGATTAAAAACTCATTCTGCCTTGCTTCTCAGTAGCACATCCTGTAGAGAATTTCTTGCGCTATCTGATGGTATAATTGCCTTTTCATTATTGCTTTATAAACCCCTTTTTTCAAGATTTTTTCAAGCATGTGAAAAGAGCACTTCGGACGATTTTTTTCTTCGACTATAAATTGGGGCAATCCGCAATCGAAACAGCTCAACAAATTAACCAGGTGTGGGGCCCAATAGTGCTAGAGAAAGCACTGTGCGGCAATGGCTCAACAAATTTCGTTCTGGAGATTTCAGCCTTGAAGATGAACCTCATAGCGGTCGACCTAAAGCAATATCTGACGAGGATTTTAGGGGGATTTTGGAGGCTGACCCATCCCAAACAGTTCGAGAGATAGCAGAAGAGCTAGCCTTGCATCACTGTTGCAGATGGTCTGGAACGCATTGGGAAGGTGAAAAAACTCGACAATTGGGTGCCCCACAATCGGAGTGACCGGCAGGAATCGGCACGTCTCGAGGTTCCTTCTGCATTGCTTTTGCGCAGCAGAAACGACCTGTTTTTGGGCCGAATTGTCACCTGTGATGAAAAATGGGTCATGTATGATAACAGGAGACGTTCCGGACAGTGGTTGGATTTCGACGAACCACCGAGGTAATTTTCAAAGCCGAACCCTCACGAAAAAAAAATTCTGGTCACGGCTTGGTGGTCATCGGCTGGTGTGATCCACTATAACTTTTTATCACCAGGCCAAACCATCACAGCGCCCTAATGCTTGAAGAAATCGACGAATTGTACCGAAAATTTTGTCAGATGCAGCCAACACTTATCAAAAGAAAGGGTCCGATTCTTTTGCATGACAACGCCCGCCCACACGTTTCACAAATCACTATCCATAAATTGAACGAATTGAGGTTGAAGTTCTACCTCACCCGCCATATTCTCCAGACCTTCTCAGCGGCCGGGCCAACCGACTATCACACCTTTTCAAACATTTTCAGAACTTCCTTGCTGAAAAATACTTCATCAATTAGGACCAGGCAAAAAAGACCTTCGTAGATTTCGTGGATTCTCGACCACCCAGTTTTTTCTTTGATGGGATTTCTCGACTGCTATCACATTGGCAAAAGTGTGCTGATTCGAATGGTGCCCTTCGATTAAATCCGATGAGTATTAAAAAAGTTACGATCGTTTAAAGTGAAACACCCAAAACGCTGAGAACTTTCCGGACAACCTAAATATGACCACCTTGAACAAGTGGTCGGTGACTTCTTTGACTCCCAATCTCCCCAGTTCTGGGAGAAGGGAATCGCTGACCTGCCCGTTAGGTGGGACAATGTTATGACTAACGATGGTTATTATATTGTTGATTAGCTTGCATTTGCTGAGTTGTAAAATAAAACAGAAAAAATCTCAACCCTATCAAAACTTTTTGATCAACTTAGTACATTTTTGGGTTCTTTGAGACTTAGTACATTTTTGGGATCTTTGAGACTTACTGGGAATCTCTCATGGTATTTTAGTCATTCTCATTCATTTTGCTGATACTCTTCATGAAATAGTTTCATGTTCTAAAGATTAAAAGTTATCTATTTTCAGTTGCCTAGTCTTTTTCAAGTTCTTAGCTGTCTCTTCAGGCCATCTCGTCTACCTTACTACCGACGTTACGAAGATCATTTCCTCGAGACGCCATCAAACCATTGCCTTACCAGAAGATCCTCACCGATATCATCAATCCCGAAGTGTTTGATTTGTTGGTGACAATGTCAAATCGACGTGGCAGCAATCCTCCAGAAGTTCCTAGCACATTTTCCTTCTCCAATCAAATCACAACAGATTTGATAGCATATTCCACTGCATCCATAACTAACGGTTCTAATGGCAGCGTTTGTAACCATCAATTCACCGTCCCTCAGCAGCCCATGAGGCCTCAGTCGTTGGGTTTTTCAGCAAAGTTGCCACTGACTATGACTAAATCAATCGAAGATATGCTACGTCCACCAGGAATGAATGAGGATTCCACGATAATGAATCGACCTTTGGCTCGGGATTGGGCTGATGGTGTACGTTTAACGCCGATATTCAATAGAGACGTTGTGGCGCAGTTCTTCCCTGAACTGTCAGATAATCCCGTAATTTAGCTAGTCGTGGAGATTTATTGCTGTCTACGGTTTTGTGTCAGGTATCAGTTACGCTGCAGGGGCGGAGCCAGGGAACGGCGTCATAGGCACACAGCTTTTTTGCCCGCCCTATTCGCCGCCGTGAAGGCGGAGAAAAAAAGATGGAGCGCCAATGACGTCTTTTTCTGGTCCCACTAAATCTGGAGCGGTGTCTCTAACAACTACTTATCAATGTATTCAACAGGGAACGTTGTTCACTTCAAAACCAAGAAATAAAGTTTTCCTTCCTGCTTGGAAATTGCTCATTGAAAACTCTAATGTTTACACGGCTTCAATCACCGTGAACAGAAGGGGCGTGTACATGAACATGACTATGAACGCGTCAAACGTTGCCGTTCTAGACAGAGGGGGAGGCTTTCTGTGCTCTATCACGCGTTGGCTGCCTACTTCTCTGCCTGAGCCTTCCTAACCTCACACTAGCGCTCTCGCATCCAATCCCACTAAACTCTCACACCGCACAGTAGTAGTGAGCACGGAACACTCTTGTAGAGAATAACCAGAAGTGAGAGAGCGCAGACAAGCCGGTGCGTTCGGCTATAGTTAGACGCTTGGCTGGCCGTGCGG